GGCGCAAGCTAGATTAAAGTGATTATTACGTTTTGAATATGGATATTTTTCTTACAAAAACGCATCGAATCGCTACAGGAGGCCTTTGTTCACCCCCCGGAGCCGTGCGAGACACTTTTTTTATGGATGGGCGCATTTTATTCAACTGCTTTTGGACGGATGCATGCAACACCTGCTGAGTGGCATTAAACAGCTTGAAAGATCAAAGACTATTTTTAATATAACTCCGACTGGATTCGTCTGAAAGAAGAAAGTCATATACACCTAGGATGACTTGAGGGTGAGTAATTTGTGGGCTAATTTTCATTTTTGGGTAAACTAACCCTTTAATGCCCTTGGTCTGTCTCAATACTTTTTAAATAAAGTATTACTTTGAAATGTTGCCATTTTTAAAAATTTAACTGTTTGAGCATTTAGACAACATTTTAAAAAGAAACCTAAATCTTTTTTTTTTTTTGCGTGTATCATATTTGATATAACTAGCTTTTATGACTATACAGTATGATATAAGAGTATGGAGATCATAGTCATAAAGAACAACTATTCAGACGGGGTAAAATATATGCAAATTGGTGCAGATATTAATATGATATTTCTATGACGGTAATGTAAGATAAAATTCTGATAGCTTGTGGGGGGCAAAACATGCAATGTAATACAATGATGGTTGAAAAGACAAAGATATAGAAGTTATGGAAACTTATGGAGCTGGATCTAGGCTTCAAGATATCTATTTTGGGTCTGGTCTTGCAACGTATTTAAATCTTCAGCATGAAAAGCCATGATCTTTACCAACTAGGCTGCACTACTTTTGAGAGTGCCTCTTTGAAGTGAGCTGAGGTAGTGCAGTTCTGCAGGGATCCTTTCATGCAAGTGTCTTAGGAGCCCTACTGCGATTCTCTTCTTTTCTCTCTCTACCTTGTTGCTCAAAGCTCTTTTTCTCGGTAACAACCCGCAGGGCCTGACACGGCTAGCATTTGTCATTTTTAAAGCATGTTTGTTTTAAAAGACCAAGTACCACCCGTCTGCAGAAATCTCTTTTGTTTGGATAGTGAAGAAGTCGTCGAGTCTAATACCTGCAGGACTTGTGTTGGCCTATATTAGCGTAAATGCACTGTTCCCCCCCTGCTGAAATGCAGTTATTTTGTTTCAGCATACTAAACAATTATCTTCCCCCTGAGGCTGATGGTACAGAGTCAGATATGTGCATGGCCAGTCAACCTGCCTTTTGTTTTTATAGTTTCTCTCAAGTCAAAATTCGAGTTTGAAATAAGCCACGTGAAGCAGTAGCAATGTTTTGAAGCAAAAGCAATGTCTTCAGAAATGTAAGATCATTGATATCACATTGGACATTTATAGATTTTTCCCTTTTCTCTTCTCTTTTTTCCTGTATTTTTCCTATTCCTTTTTTCTGTTTTCTTTATTTTCCTTGCCTCCTTCCTTCCAAATATTTTCTACAGATATTTTGTTTCAATTTGCATGCCAAACCCTATTCAAAAAGTACTATGGCCGTACCATGATAAAATGACGTCATACCGTATATTTTGGTGTATATCATGACAGTGAATGATTTTCACATTGATGTACCATGGTATTTACATGTAAAGGCAAATTCAAAGAATAGTTGGCACAAATAATACCATGACACGTGGCTCTCATTTGATGGTGTCATGTGCGCATTGCTTTTTCAAAATGCTTTCTACAATACACTCAACTTCATTTAGTGCTCTTTTATTCTCCATTTGTTTCATAATACACACATTGCTTATTCTGTATAACTCCTTCTCTCACCAGTGTCTGGTCCTTAAACACTTGGTCAGGCCAGTGTCCACTCGTATTACAATTAACAAAGCCCTCAATGCCCGAATCTGTTGACCGGAGCAAAGACGCGAGAATAGTTTGCTGCTGTCAAGCCTGCAGCGGTGGCTGTCTCTCCACATCCCAGCAGACACAGTTTAGCAGCCAGCAATTCATCCTCTGCCCCTTTACTATCACTGGCTTGTCTCACTAGTCTTTATATTGGCTAGTAGATAATGACGTTATTTGCCTAATTATTTGTCTTACAGCACCTTGGATTTGTGCTTTTTAATTAGATATAGTTACACTGTTTATTGGCTAGTCATACTCCCTACCCTTCAAGCTCACCCCTTAGATTTGGTGTATTAAATCTGCTACATTGTTGGATGATTACCATATGGATAAGCATTCACATAAGAGTTTTGCCTTACAGTGAATGTATTTTTAATTACTTATTTTGGATCAGCACTCTTACATCACTCAAAAATCCCTTTGTTATTTTCTACTTTGCTGAACATGTTTGCCTCTGCAGAATATTTGGAAAATATAAATAGGATTTTTTAAATTCCATCTGTTCATGTTGATTATTTAGGAATTAAATCATAAATATTAGGCCTATATAGATATCATAATAAATTAGTACCATTTTCTATTCAAAGTATATAAATATATAGTGGCTTAAACCAGTTTCTATATATCTGATTGACTTGCAGTGGCAGACATGCAGGGTAAAGATGTTAATTTCTGTTCTGTTCTGTCTGTAACTCTCTTCACTCCACCCAACAGTCATGCAGCTGAAGTTGAGGATGGTAGTTTTGCGGAGGAGGACTGGTAAGGACCAACACCATTGGCTGTATGTTTTATGCTTCTGTGATGTGTTCTTGCCATGACACCTTGTGAGAAATGCGGTTTGAGCCCTTTTCTTGTGATGTGGTTGTGTTTAGTGGACACCCTAAACTGGTGTGAAGGCAGATGAATGTTGAATGTGAATTAATGATGAGCCGTTGTCTTCTGTGCTGTGCTTGTTTGATTAAATCTGATTAATCTCTTTCCGTCTGTTGTTTTGGGCTGTACTGTATGGAACAGCATCAGGTGTTAATTTATGTTGTAGAGAGAGGCCAAGATGCAGTTTCCCTTTGATTTCTCAGCACCAACTTGTTTACTGTATATTAAAGTAATTTTCATATAATTTAGCACAATTTAGCAGACTATTTCAGATTTCAGTCTACTACTAGTTGCAGGGCAAGTCCCTCTGTGTAACCTGAAGTTAAAAGTTTGATTAAAGGACACTGTGGTGATTCAAGTAGATTTGTGATCAGTCTCCAACTCATGAGTCAGCTTTGCATGGGATTGAACTTACAGGCTTTGAGCAGCCCAGATCCTGAACCATAAGGCTACAACACCATCTATGCCATGTCATGACACACTTTACTATTTGTAACTAGAACAGCCAAACTCAAGACACATTAATTTTTGAAAACACTGATAACATATGAATGAAGCACCAACTTGAAAGTTTAACTTCCCAATTGGATATTACTGAAATATTTCTGAGAGCAGTGGAGATGTTCTCCCCAGAGTATATGAGAAGTAGAAACTGAAGTTGAAAGTACTACTTAGAAAAGTAGAAACTGATATCTGGGTGAATCTGTCTGGATCAAATTTCACTCCAAATAAGAAGCTAATTGAAATAAAATAGAAGCTAACAGATGCTAATTATAATTCATTGTACTGCAGTACTGTTTTACTGAAATATTATAGCAGTATTGCAGTGAGTAATGTAGTAATGAGTAGTGTCAGTTCCTTGTGAGATCTGCTGAATATATATGTAAAATATGTGAATTATTAACTTTTTTATTACGTCGTTGTTGTTGTCGTTGTTTTTCTAGCAGTGGTTTGTTGGGCTGTTTCTCTTTTTCTTGATTCTTTATGCTCAGAAAAGTTCTAAAAAAAATCTACTTTTAAAATTACATTATTGCCAAAGGAGCTCCGTTAAGAGGAGCTCCATTGAAATCAATCTTTCACATGGACCCCATGAGTACAGACGTGGTCTCAATTTGCACTTTGTGAAGAGGGGCTCTCTAGAGGTCTCTGGTGTCTCTAGATGAGCAGGATTCCTGTGGAGAGAATGGAGAGTCTCAGTGGTGTCCATTAGATTGAATATCTTCATACCTCTAATACATTTAATAAGCCCATCTGATATTGATAGTAAAATCTATCTTTAATAAGTCTGTCAGGCTTATTTAATAAGGCCAAGTAGGGATTTTGTTAAACTCAAAATGCAACTTAATTCAGAAAATATTGGTTCCACAAATTGGAAATGGGTTTTTGTCAAATTATTTTAAACTCTGAATTTTAACCCCGATACTTTCTATCCTAAAATTGAGTGAAACTCAAAAATATACATGTGGAAGTTACCCAAAAGAATCTCTTAGTCAAAGACATAGTTCACCCAAAATGAAAAATTTCACCTTTATGTCATTCCAAACCTGTAGAACTTATGGAGCAGGAAAGATTCAATTCAATTAAATTCAAGTTTGTTTGTATAGCGCTTTTCACGATGCAAATTGTTGCAAAGCAGCTTTACAGAAAATTAAGTTTCTACAATATATTCAATTTTAAAATTAAATGTCAAATTAATGTACATATGGCAGAAATGTATGGTAAAATTCAGTTAATGACATAATCAAACAGACGATGAACACTATTAACAGCAATTATTATATGATGCAATCAAACTTATAGCAAAATGTGGTAGTTCTGTATGTTTCAGGGTTGGCATCATCTGAGGTCCTCTGAGGGGTTGGCATCATCTCTTCTCAGGTGTTCTGGATCCAGACTG